GTGTTGAACAAGTTGTTATCCTTGCGTATCCACAGTTCTCCCGGAGCTGACAACATCCGACCAAAGGCTCTGCAGGCGGTAGCTAGTGATCTAGCAGAACCGCTGGCTGTTTTCTATCAAGGATGTTTAGAAGAGAATCGTATTTCACTAGTATGGAAGCGAGGGGTCATCACTCCTATCCATAAAGGAGGTAGCCGCACTGATCCTGCCAACTACCGTCCAATAACACTACTTCCCGTACTATCCAAAGTGATGGAATTAATCATCGCAGATGCGCTGATGCAATACCTGGAAAGCCACAATTTAATAGCCCCAGAGCAACATGGCTTTCGTCAAAAGCATTCGTGTAATACTAACCTATTAATTGCACATAATAGCTGGACTGAAGCTATTGATGATGGAGTAGGAGTCGATGTCATCTACCTGGACTTTTCAAAAGCGCTTGATCGCTTAGACCATCGCATTCTCCTTCAGAAGCTTCGGAAGTACGGCATTGGCAACCCAATCCTGAGTTGGATTGGCAATTTTCTACAAGAACGACGGCTAGTGGTGAGAGTCCGAGAATCATTGTCTGATGCAATCGATGTGGCATGTGGAGTACCACAAGGCTCGGTTCTTGGACCTCGTCTATTCTTGGTGTTCATTAACGATTTGGCGAGATCAATTACTTCCGATTTCCTATTTTTCGCTGATGATATCAAGATATGGCGAAGGATCAGAGGACCGGAAGACCACGGACGGCTCCAGTGCGATCTTAACACAGTGTCGAACTGGTCAGTTCAAAATGCTCTACCATTCAACGTAGACAAATGTCGCGTTGTACAATTACGCCATAAACATAACTACACCTATTTACTTGGGACAAACGGATTGCAGAATAGCTCCCAGGAACGTGACCTTGGTGTGATCGTACAGAGCGACCTCAACTGTTCAAAACAGGCTGAGGTAGCTGCGAAAAGAGGCAACCAGCACGTCGGCATGCTGCGAAGGGCATTCGGGAGATTTGACCCATCAATCTTCCCAATGATGCACAATTCCTACGTACGCCCGCATGTTGAATATGCTATCCAAGCTTGGCAACCTTGGTTGAAGCGCGATCTAGAAGCGATAGAGGCACCACAACGAAGAGCAACAAAGAATGTAAAGGGCCTGCGCTATCACTCTTACCACCGAAACTGAAATTGCTGGGAATTTTCAGCGGACGCTATCGAAGGCTGCGCGGTGATCTCATATTAGCGTATCAGATACTGAGTGACCCCAACCACGTATGCCGCCATTTGCTGAAACTTAGCCACAACACGCAGCTCAGGGGTAACTGCTTAAAGTTGAAGGAACAATATAGCCGTCTAGAGTGTCGACGGAATTACTTTTCCCTTCGGGTTTGCCAACCCTGGAACGCACTCCCAGACTCAGTTGTATCCTCTCCTACTTTGGACGTTTTCAAAAAACAATTAGATGTTGCTCTTAGCTCCCAGCATTTTGTTACCTAAGCTCCTCTATTGTGGATTACGTCATGCATGTTTTCAACAGGATTTATGTATTAAATGGACCTAAGTGGGCGACCATATTTTAGTTTTCCCGCTCCTTACATCAACGATCACTGCACCCCAGTGTCTTTCTAAACGTTTGCGCTCGATTTCTCTAACTTGTACACTGATGTAATTTGTCGAATTATTCATCTAGGCAGACGTTCAGTAGGTGACCCAGATATACTTTGATTTCAGCAAATTCACCTCAACCATCCTACGGGACGTGCCAAGCACTTGCTTTTATCCCGTGATAAATCATTGTTCATTGTTCAAGGTGAATCATGAAGTGCTCCTCGACAGACTGAGGATGTGCGATGTCGGCTGCTCTCTGCACTGATGGATCAGGAATTTCATTGTTGGTCAAAAATGGAGGGTTTAATTCGACAACGATTTGACCGACGGGTATCCATCGAACAGTGGCGTGCACCAAGATACTGTACTGGGGCCGATTTCGTTTCTCATCCATGTAAACGATGTGTGGCAGGTTCTCCTTGCACCTTGTGCAACGTCTGCAGATTACTAGAAGGTGTGGAGAGTAATCCGGGCACCCAATCACGGTGACCTGCTTCAACAGGACCTTGACCGTTTCTCCATGTGATCTACAGAGGTCAACCTTCCAATAAACCTAGTGAAGTAGCAAATTATGAGGAGTGTAAGTGTGAGCACAGTCGAACGCATACCGTGGCGGTCAACCGTTGCATCCCGCGTCTTTAGTGCGAGACCTCGGTGTATTATCACGGTAGGACTTAAAGTCTATGGGCAACACGAATAGGCTTTACCAGAACGGCCTTCGTATGCTTTGGGCGCTTAGGCGCAGTTTCAGCATTTGGTCTGAAGATATTGCCTCCGTTTCAATAATACGACCGATGCTAGAGTATGGCTCTCCCGCATATTGTTCTATCATCCGGGGCGAGCTAGAAAAGCTTGAAGGAATGTAGCATGTGGCCACCAGGCTGATTCCCAATCTACGAGGTGTGCCGCACGAAGACCGGTGTAGGAAACTAGGACTTTACACCGCTGCTTATTGTCTAATGCGGGCTGACCTCATCATAACGCACCGGATAATGCATCTCAGTGAATACCTAATGTTGAGGCCTCTGCTGCATCTGCACACACCAACCAGCACACGGTGACAACGATACAAACTTGTTGTACGGGATTTGAATTGCGGCGCCCACCTAAGCTGTTTCGAACGGAGACTGGCAAATGTATAAAACAACCTGCTGCAGCACGTAGTTGAGGCAACGTCGGTGTCGGATTTTAAGAAAACTCTGGACAAACATTTTGCCTACGTAAAATGTATTGAGTGTACTCCAACCTAATTAGTCCTTGTACCTGAGTGACATTAGATGCGGCTACACAGAGATATCACTTCTTGCTGCTTTCAACCATTAATCAGTAACCAGGCTGGCTGATCGAACAACCCCCACCTGGTACAAGCTGGGTTGGTTGGGTTAATCCCAGTCCAACTGATAGTTCGGCTGCAGTGTTCCATGACGTGGTGGGTTTTCGCTTGGCAAACGTTCTCCCTATCAAAAGCCATAAATGTCTGCTTAACAACACTGTGACGTGGTGAATATCATTGGACACTAAATAAAGTCACTGCCTTGTCATACCGGAGGATCTTACACGTTTCTCGAACGTCAAGCCCTACAATTATTTCATCTGATCTCTTCCCATATTTTCACATTCACCGAAAAAACCCACAAATTTACAGTGAGACTAACAAATTCACACAATACGATTACGTGCACACGCACCCACATAAATACTACCCATACAAACACACATATAGCTTATATGCACTGGTTAAGTCGTTACATTCCTGTACCATTGCTGACGTTACGCGTTCGTATTACCATGATTGGGCCTTTGAAGGCGCGTCTCACACCGTCGAGAATAAATCGATTATTTATTTATTTATTTATTTATTTATTTATTTAGTACACAAATCAACAGAATTTCGTCGCAGCACGCACGAATCAGTGTACAATGATGAAGTTGTCAAGACGGTCTGCCGATTGTTTTCTGTACACTTTTATAGGACATTCAGATTGCTATAGGCTGAATGTATCTTTACCAGTAAACGTGCGTTTCCCCTTACATAGTGCACCATGTCCGCCTGTACTCAAATCGACTACTGATAAGATTCCTATTTACTGGACGCCGCTAGTTTCATTTCTGGCTTCACATAACTCTTACACGCAACTATAGAAATCAGGTGCACAGTTTTCCAACCGATAGACGAAACTAAAATCTTTTTTATGAGACAGGTCCCTACCTAATAAGTATGAGCACATGCCTAGTAGGCGTATATTCGTCCCAAATTTCATCCTCGAAGTGCTAAAGTATGAGTATTGGCAGATCGAAACAAAACATACTTTACTTCAAAAGTTTTAACAGAGCAAGAACAAAGCGCAATTCTGCGGAATAATCTGAATTCGACATATTTGGTGTATTTGCTTCAGCGGCCTAGATACAATAGCTGAAAAATTCAAACGGTCAATACCAGAAATCGATGGTTAGTTGCGTTGCCTACTCTGTCTTAACTTACCAATGAAAAACAAGATTGGCCACAAACTCAACTTGTTTGCATGGATTAGGGTTCAAACGCCGGATGACAGGAGCCTCAAGAAAACGCAACAATGGGATTGCACTGTCTGTTGATGAGTTTGCATGCTTCGCGGGAATTCTGGTACAACCAGCAGCCGAATATTTGCCGGGCAACGGAGCTGGCACGTGAGGCTGCGCCACTAAGCACAAGTTTCCAGGGAATATGATCCGAAATCCGAGTGGACAACCTTTTTGGATTTCGGAGCACATTCCGCGGGATCTTGCTCTGTGGTGCAATATTAGCTGCCAGCTTCTTTGCCTGGCACTTATTCAACTGCTTCATGTGTCAAAATCCCCGTGAATCATTCAAGATCATCAATAGGTACAGCAACAAGTTGTTGCGTATGCATCATGAACATGGGTGAGTGAGTTTACCTGAGGTTGATGTAGCGCAAATCGCCCGTTGTAAAAACATCTATCACAGACTTCATGCACATGTCCATCGACACAATGCCAGACAAATACAGAGAATAATTTTAACCAACTACTACAGTTCATAGGCTAATCCCTAGTAGCACATCTTAACATCAAGTAAATTTGGTCAATCATAGTCATATCCATCAAAATTAGCTACTATTCAAACTCCGAGCAAATGACAATACTTGCTCCATTGTTTGCCGTTGGTGTGATTGTCAGTTGCTAGCGCGTACCGTGGTAGTAACAGTCAGAAATTAGTCTGTTGGACAGATATCGATGCCAACCCATTGAATAAACTATAGCGCATACTTTTCAGTTGGGTTAGAAAAAGGAACCAGATGTTTTGCTTCATGAAAGGCAACGAAATGGACAGGGTGCGCTGTGGACAATGGAGTTTTACTTACATTCGCCGAATATGCATAAAACCAATGGATCCCTTACCTTAATAGACATTTTGCCCCTGTACTTGAAGACATATGGGTAGGGAGCAAGTGCGTCAGCGAACGATTGGCTAATGTGTATTTTGTCCGGCTGTAAAGGAAAAGAAAATCGAATGATGGCACTGGGCGAAGTGTTTGACTGTAAATGATGAATTTAGTGAATGCGGTAAAA